TATATATATTCAGACTTTCTGTATATATATTCAGACGTTATATATATATATATATATTTCGACTTTCTGTATATATATACAAAGACTAATTTCCTGAACGGCATGCCATAATGTATGTAGCTATATGCGACAGTAGGGCGTGGTTTAGTCTGAGCATGCGCCGAGGAGGGCAGACAAACACCGTACACAATCTCAGCATCTTTCTACCGATGACAAAGAGACCTTCCGGGGAGACGCGCTGCGCGCCACCGCTTCCACTGCGTTGCGCTGCAGACAAACAGATACCCAGACAGACAGACAGACAGAACGTCAGAAGGACAGTCAGACGGGTCTGTCTCTGCTGCTAAGTGTCGGTCTCTCGGTTCAGTGTCAGTAGGATGCGCGGAGCAGCAGCAGCATCATCAGCACCATCCTCCTCCTCCTCCTTCTCATCATCATCAGCAGCAGCAGCTCTCGGTGGTCGTAGCCTCGCTGCTCTGTAGCTCGCCGTGAAGCAGTGGTCACCCAGAGCAGAGCGGAGACATGAGCTGCAACTGGGGCACCGAGCTGTGGGTAAGTCCGGTCCACCTGCCCGCACCTGTTCACCCTCACACCCGCACCGGAGTCACCTGTTAGTTCTACAAACACCGCTCACCGGTTATCTACCGGTAACTTAACTGGTGTGTGTGTGTGCGTGCGTGTGTGTGCGCGCGCGCGTGTGTGTGTGAGAGAGAGAGAAAGAGAGAGAGAGGCCCTCGTGCTTCCCTGCCATAGCAACACGGTGGATGACGACAGCGACCTGCGCTCTGCGTCCTCCATGACTGTGCTGCAGCGGAGAAATCAGACGGACCTCCATCCTTTCGTCATTTATAATATTTATACATTTACCTGTGTCATATTATTATGATAATATTTAATACTATATCTACATATAACAGTAATAATAATAATAATGACTGCTTTGTTTCCATTATTATTCTCTGTTGTTTTATTATGCTTTACAATAACCGTTATAATATATTTTTTCAAAAATAAAATAATTATTTAATAATCATAAATGTAGCAATGGTAAATTATTATTATTATTATTATTATTATTATTATTATTATTATTATTATTATATGAATACAATTGTTTTTATTCTGATATTGTTTAATAACAAAAGTGATGCATTTGGTAATTACTTTATTAAAATTAAATGATTGACTTTCTTATGATTAATTCAATTCTAAACAATGGTAAAAATGTGTTGTTGTTTTTGTAATTTTTTACATTATCCAATGGACCAACCTGACAATCAACAATCTAAAAACACATTTTCTAAATATTTGTTGCTGGATACGTTTTAAATTCTGTTCGATACTATATATATGTGTGTGTGTGTGTGTGTGTTAAATCTGACAGTAATACTGTGGGTTAGGGGCACGTATTTACTGACTGCGTTTTTTCTTTTGACTGACTTGTGTTTCAGGACCAGTTTGATAATATAGAGAAACACACCAGCTGGGGAATCGACTTCCTGGAGCGATACACCAAGTTTGTGAAAGAGCGAGCAGAAATCGAGCTGAGCTACGCCAAACAAATCCGGTAAATACGGCATTACCAAAAATGCCTGCTGAGACATTGTCTATATGCATAAATTCACTGCTAATACATTAAAGCAAGAGTGAAAACTGAGTTTTTCTGACCCTTAGTGGTTTTATAGAGGTACTGCAGCGCATGTGTGATTTTTTTTTACACCTTATTTTACCCGCCTTAATTATTTAAAAAAACTGATAATTGTTTAATCAGTTTACACCCATTGTTGATATTGGCAACAGAATCATTTGACAAGGTTTGTTTAGAGATGGCGGCGTCACAGCGACACCACAGACGGTACGTTGTATACGCTATATACAAAACATGAATAAATAAAAACACGAATATTTGTATATTTATACCTAAACTACTAGGTTAGTAATGAATGCAAAAAAAACCAAAACAAACTATTATAAACAAGTTTGTAATTCTTGCGATTCTTTGCATTTATATTTCGAAAACAGTACCAGAGTCCCTGCTCAGTCTGCGGTTCCTGGGCTTAAAAAACCTTGAAAACCCTTGGTCTAGAACGAAACGTGATTGCTCAAGAGGCTCCAAATAACAGTTGAAATTAAAGTGGAGTTTCAGTTTTACCCACATTGATCGCTGTGGCCTCGTTTATTTTTTGTATTCCACTGCCTAATGGTTTGTTAAAAAATAATGCTTTTAAAAAAACAAATCTGAAACAGAATGGGACATGATCATGACCCCTCTCCTCCCCCTTTCTCCTCCCCCCTCTGTCTTTTCTCCCGTGTCTGTGTCTGTTCAGGAGTCTGTCGAAGAAGTATCATCCAAAGAGAAGCAGGGAAGATGAAAGCAGGTCAGAGTCGTCCAAGGTCCATCTTTCATGGTTGCACATGCCCTGATAATAATAATAAATACCAGTGACGTCTGAGTCCTTGGTACTGTTAGAACCAGTGGTAGAAACCCGTGGCAGAAAATATGGAAAACAACCATTCAAATCTTGTTTTCCATATTTTCTGCCACATTCTTTAAATATAAAGGTATCAAACATATGTGGGAATAATTTCTCCTCATGCTCTAGCCTTGTTTTTTCTGCCCCCTAGATACAGGCATGTGACAGAACCAGACCTGAGAAACTGATTCTTGTTTAAAAATAACTGAGATCAGCTGCTCCAGTGCAAGGAGAGAAAAAAAACCTGCAGTGAATAAACAACAGTTCATTAACTTAGCTGCTACATTGCATAAAAAGGCAAGAAGGAGTCCCGCAGAGGAAGCGGTTGGTGCTCTTGCCTTACTGCAAGACACAGTAACATCCGAGGCCACTGCTATGATACCATAATAATTCTAAATTAAGACCCTTGTTTGAAAAAAATGCATGTGGTGTGTGTGTTGGTGGTACCTGGTTTCTGATTGGTCGATCGCTGCAGGTACACCTGGTGCGTGGCGTTTGCCGCAACACTGCGTCAGCTGAGTGACGTTGCAAATCAAAGGGAAGAACTGGCTGAGAACCTGAATACGCAGATTGTTTGCGAGCTGGCAAGATACACGCAGGAGCTGAAGTCGGAGAGGAAATCGGTAAGTAAAAAAAAAATCACACCGGTTAAAAAGTGGAAATTAAACAAAATCTTGGTGAAGATGCTGTTGAGAACAGTCAATAAAATTAAAAATATTAATATGATATGGTCATGACAAAGCATGCAGCAATCTACAACCATCCTGACAGGAGATTGGTCAAGACGTAAATAGCTAGCCTAGCGGCTACCAACAACTGAGGCCTCTGCTTACTATGCAGAAGGTTCTGGGTTTGATTCCACCTAGTCTACATTGACGAGGTGTTTTGAGTCAGCAAGCCAGGTCTGTGGTGAACCCTGGTTAAGAGAAAAGTGATTCTTCTTCTGCTTCTTAAGTGGCTACTAGCTAATGCTAGTTTCTTGCTAGCCACCTCTCTGTCACCCAGGAACATAACAGAGTTGTGATCCAGTTCTAACAATCTTGTCTATAAAGTAGAGCCACCATTTAAATTAAAAGTGTAACCTAGAAAAATAGATTTTTTTTGTGCCTTCATTGCAGCATTTCCAAGATGGCCGTCGTGCCCAGCAGCATATCGAGAGCTCGTGGAAACAGCTGGAGTCTGTGAGTATTTCTCACCTCTCGCACACACATTTGTCCACTTGGCCGAGGTGAGGACACGGTTTTCGATTTGTGCTCTTCTACTTTAGAGTAAACGCCGGTTTGAACGCGACTGCAAGGAGGCCGAGCGAGCTCGACACGTCTCTGACAGAATCGACCTGGAGAACAAGACGGACGGAGAAAAGGTTTGGGTCGTGTAAAACAATAGCATTGGTAAAAGAGCTAATATTACAGAAAGAACAAAAACCAATCAAAATGTATTTCCTTTCTCTCTTCCTGTCTGTCTGTCTGTCTGTCTCTCAGCGCTGCTCACTGAAGGTAAGTTCTATTAATTTTACAGGAGAACCTTGTTTTTTTAAAAAAAAATATGACCAAACTTTCCCCTCTTGTTTAAAAAAAGGTGTCTCCAAAAAGCTAATAGAATGATTTAAAAATAAATTCTCCAATTAATTTTAAAGGGACACAGAACATACATGGCTAACTTAGCCTAGCCATGGTTTGATTGCTGACTGTCAAAATGAAATGCTACATGCTAGCTCGGGGCTAATACGCACCTTAAATAGTAAATGCTAATACAACCCTGCTAATAGCGCTAACATGCTACTGTAGATGGATTGAGTTAACGCTCATTGTTTTATATTTACATAAAAAAATACTCTAGTATTTGTTTATCATTAAAAGGGGCTTTGAAGTGTGTATATGTATGGATAGTGCCACCTATGGTACAGCCCAGGGAAGGGAAGACAAACCTTTATAATTATACAAAACTGTAAATCTTCCCCTATAAGTTCAGTTATAAGTTTTGTAGCTTATACAGTGATTTCACCAGTCGCTAGGTAAAATGTACTCCTTATATTTTATGGTCTCAGTGAATTTATTTTATTTTATTACGTAATTCGTGGTTTCAGGCTCGACAGACGGCTCAACAGAAACAACAAGCTGCTGAAGAATCGAGGAAGGACTATGTGACCAGTTTAAGCCAGTTTAACCAGGACCAGCACCAGCACTACCACACTCTGGTACCTGTTATATACCAGGTAATTAAGACTTTCTACTTCATAAATAACATGAACGGGCAGTACTGGTACTGTTTGTGTAGTATAGTATATGTACAGTGTTAGCATAGTGTAGCGGTTAGCCTGCCTCCCTTGGAAGCAAAGGTAGTCATGGGTTTGATTCCCTCAGGAATCACATACCATACCTGATAATTGGTGTTGTACTCTGGTGTGTGTTGAACTAGTAGTATAACTTCAATAGTAGTGTTATAGTAAATATAATATATCAATGTTTTGTGTGCGACAGCGTATTCAGGACATGGAGGAGCGTCGTATTGAAAGGATCTGTGAAGCAATGCGCTCCTCAACGGAAGCTGAGAGAAAAGTACTTCCTGTTGTGGGTCGCTGCCTCGATGCCATGATGGATGCTGCTGAGAGTATCCAGCCCAGGAAGGTACGGTAGAAAAACACAGAGTACCGCCTCTGAACATCTGTAGTATTTGGGTCACTGGGTCATTTTGTCATCTGCTAACCTTTTACTATTCACACTACCATTCACACCTGCGGTCCATCCACAACGACAACTGACCACAGTCCTCCAAACAGGAAGTCATATATTTACCACCCCGTCTGTGTTCAGGACACTCGTCAGGTGGTGGAGGTGTTCAAGTCGGGGTTCGACCCCCCGGGTGATATTGAGTTTGAAGACTACAGCACCTCCATGAGGAGGAGCATCTCAGAATCGAGTTACCTCGACAACAGGACAGAGAACAGGAGACACAGCAGGAAATTGTGGCCCTTTATCAGAAAGAACAAGGTTTAAAAAATTTAAAAACAAAAAAACAACTATCCGCCCCCCCCTCGAGTGTTTCAGTTTAACTCCCCCCCCGTTTTACTCTCTTATTTTTTTCTTCAGCTGTTGACCCTGCTCTCCTCCCCTCGACAACCTCCTCCTCCACCCCCAACCTCACCTTCACCAGGGGGCGTGGCCAATAGTCCCCAGTCTCCACCCCCTGCTTCGAGAGAACCTATCACACAGCGACTAAATGACCTCATGACCTCTGGCTCCAGAACCAGGAAGCAGTGTCTACGCAGCATCAAAAGAGGGGTACACAAATATATATATGTATATATATGTATATATGTGTGTGTATGTATATATGTACATATATATGTACGTATGTATATGTATATATATATACAATTCTACATACATGTATATATATATATAAATGTTATACATAAAATGTATACAGTTTTTTATATAAATTACTGTTTATAACAGTTTTATAAATGATTATAACGACTAATGAAAAGAAACCCACATCCTTTTCTTTCTTTATCTTTCTCATCCGTTGTTTTTTATTCTGTCTTTATTTTCGTCTGGTTCACCTTCCTGTTTTTAACCTTTAACCAGAAGCAAATTCTTATCAAATTCTTAAAAAAGAAAAAGACATCTGGGTTATGTTCCGGTGCTCATTAACCAGCCACCAGGGAGCAGCTCAACTATTGTTGGGACTGAAAAAGATTTGAAGGCAGCCACTAGGGTACACAAAGCCGTGTTTATAGTGCCGGTCCCAAGCTCGGATAAATGGTGAGGGTTGCGTCAGGAAGGGCATCCGGCGTAAAACGTTTAGCTAAATCAAATATGCAGATCAATAAAACGATTTCCATACAGGATCGGTCGAGGCCCGGGTTAACAACGACCGCCAACAGTGGTGTTGACCAACAGGGCACTGATGGAAATTGGACTACTGTTGGTCAGAGACAGAGAAGAAGAGGAGGGCGTTTGGTTAGGAGAAAAAGAGAAAAGATGAAGAATAGAAGTGTGGAAGTTTGGAACTTTGAATGTAGGTACAATGACAGGGAAAAGCAGAGAAATAGCTGATGTGATGGAGAGAAGAAGAGTAGATATTTTGTGTGTGCAGGAGACCAGGTGGAAGGGCAGTAAGGCTAGAAACATTGGAGGAGGCTACAAAC